TTCCGCACCTCCTCTGAGTCTCAGTGTGCTTTTCTCTTTCCTTCTAGTTGTAGAATTTCCACTCAGCCAGCCTTAATGTGGTTCTGGATGATGTCCATTTTATCTTTTAGTTGTATTTTTGAAGTGGGTGTGCGAGGCAGAAATTTCAGTTGTTTACCTATGCCGCCATCTTGGTTTCTCTATCCTCTTTTATTTTTAAGTGTATGAAAATTTAGGTGAAAAATTATCCTGAAAGGCTAAATAATTACAATGTGTGTTAATTGAGCATTTTATTCTTACTTTATTTTTATAATGAATCTTTGGTATCTGAAATATAGTATTCTTCTAATTGTAAAATTGGAGTAGATAAATAAATAAAATTAGGTGATACTGGAATAACATGTGATCTCTGTTTTGAAAAAAAAAAAATCCATGTCAGGAAGCTCAATGAAGGCAGGCCTCTTATTTGTCTGGTGTACCATTATGTTCTTGACACAGAGTACAATTGTCCTTTGGTACCCGAGGATGACTGGCTCCAGAACCGCCCCCTCTCCCCCAATACTAAAATCAGCAGTTGCTCAAGTGTCTTATTCGGCCCTTTGTATCCATGGGTTCCATATCCTCCAATTGCAAATCAATGGTTTGTTGAATCTGTGGCTGACTATAGCTTCACTGAACTTCTTATTTGGTAGGGTCTGTTGGGTTGGATTTCTTTGTCTTATAAGGTTTCCACTGCTATGGACACTGTAGAGCAAGGGCGATATGTTTCTAATGTTTCTAATATGGAATTGAATAAAGTTTTCTTCTTTAATAGAGTGCAATGGTGATTGATTTAGTCTGTATTGACAAAGTGCTATTTTAAACTTCTGTTTATTTTTTTTAATACAGTCATGTGTCAATCACTGGGATACATTCTGAGAAATGTGTCATTAGACAGTTTTTTAAAAATATATTTTATTGATTTTTTACAGAGAGGAAGGGAGAGGGATAGAGAGTTAGAAATATCGATGAGAGAGAAACATCGATCAGCTGCCTCCTGCACAGCCCCCACTGGGGATGTGCCCGCAACCAAGGTACATGCCCTTGATCAGAATCAAACCCAGGACCCTTCAGTCCGCAGGCTGATGCTCTATCCACTGAGCCAAACCAGCCAGGGCTCATTAGACAGTTTTTGTTATTCAAACATCATAGAGTGCACTTACACAAACCTACATAGTATAGTCTACTATACACCTAGGCTATAAGGTATAACCTATTGCTTCTAGGCTACAAACCTGTGTAGCATGTTAATGCACAAAACAACACAAGATTAAATCAAGCACAAGAGAGAATGATACAATCAAGAGACGTGGAAAACATAAGACCTGTGAGGCTGCTGTTGCCTGTATAACATGGCATACTGTTTTACAGCAAACTCTAGAAGTAGAAAGAGTATATTATAAAATAATGATAAAAAAGTATATGTAATATAGTAAATACAGAAGCCAGTAACATCATCTTTTATTATCATTATCAATAATTATGTGCTGTATATAATTATATGTGCTGTACTTTTATACAAATGGTTGCTCAGTAGGTTTGTTTATACCAGTAGCACCAAAAACATGAGAGTAATGTGTTGTGCTATGACACTGTGATGGCTACAGCATCACTAGGTGATAAGAATTTTTCAGTTCCATTATAATCTTATGGAACTACAGTTGTATATGCAGTCTGTAGTTGACCAAAACATCAGATTTGGCACACAGCTATAGTGAATTATGTGTAGTTTCCAGTATATAGGATTCTCAGGTTTATCATTAAGTTTCTCTGAACTAAAATTTATATATATATTTTTATTGCTTAAAGTATTACAAAGGGTATTACATATGTGTCATTTTTCCCCCCGCCCTTGACAATCCCCTGGCCTCCCCTATCCCCCAGTGTCTTATGTCCATTGGTTATGCTTATATGCTTGCATACAAGTCCTTCGGTTGATCTCTTACCCCCCTCCCTCCTGCCCCCCAACCCTCCCGGCCTAAACTAAAATTTTTTATACATTTTATTGATTTCAGAGAGGAAGGGTGAGGGAGAGAGAGATAGAAACATCAATGGTGAGAGAGAATCATTCATCGACTGCCTCCTGCACGCCCCAAACTGGAGATTGAGCCCACAGCCCAGGCATGTGCCCTTGACCGGAATCAAACCTGGAACCCTTCAGTCTGCAAGTCAATGCTCTATCCACTGAGCCAAACTGGCGAAGACTGAACTAAAATTTTGAAACAAATTGAGATTGTTTCTGGAGAGGTTTGGAAATGGTATTATTTTTTCATGTCTTTAGCTTAGAAATGTTTATTAGACATGTTATCAATACAACAATGTTGTGAGGCTCTGAGCTAGCTGGAAAATGGTCAAAGGCTATGCTCATGAAAGATTTGGATTTTTAAATGTATTGTAAAGCAGTAAAAAATGAGATTTTTTTCTCAAGTTTATTGTATAAAAACATATGGCACTAAATTTTAAAAAGGAAGCAACCCTTATAATACCATACACTTAACAAATATGCTGATAGAAATGTTCCATGTTACTTTCTAGGACTTGTGTATGCACATAAATATAATCTTGTATATATTCATTTAGTAGAAATTTAACTAAGGGGAACCCACAAAGCATACTTTTACATGATACTACAGCCCAGGTTATTAAAAAGATGAAGCTGAATCATAGTGGGTTTGTCTTAATTACATTACTAATGAACTATGTCTTTGCAATGTTTGAGTCAGTGCCCTCTGGCTTAAAAAATTAGGGTCCTTATTATTATTTATAATAATAAATGGTTGAAAAGGATATAGCCCTGGCTGGTTTGGCTCAATGGATGGAGCGTCAGCCTGCAGACTGAAGGGTCCTGGGTTCAATTCCGGTCAAGGGCACTGCCCGGGTTGCGGGCTTGATCCCCAGCGGGGGACGTACAGGAGGCAGACACTCGATGATTCTCTCTCATCATTGATGTTTCTATCTCTCTCTCCCTCTCCCTTTCTCTCTGAAATCAATAAAAATATATTTAAAAAGAAAAGGATATAAATGTCTATCAGCTGGGGATTGATTAAATTATAAATGTTTATGAGATGGGATGCCAGGCAGGTATATATAAGGTTCTAATAGAATGATAGATGGTTACATACTAACATGGAAAGAGGTTCAAATATATTCCTAAGGGTTCAAATATATTCTGAAGTGAGAAAAAACAGGTATAGAACAGTATATTATAGTATATTATAATATTATAAGTGTGTTATAGTCTCATTTATGTAAAAAATTATTTTGCATGTTTATATGGGTATTAATAAAATCCAAAAGGATCTGTAGCAAGCTTTACATAGTGTTATTTCCAGGAAGATGAGATTATATAGGAATTTTATGATTTCTGTATCTCTATAAAATTTTTACAACAATCATAAAAAGAGCTATTTCCTGCCCAGGTGGAGTGGCTCAGTTGATTGAGCATCATCCTGTGCACCAAAAGGTTGCCAGTTTGATTCCCGGTCGGGGCACATACCTGGGTTGCAGGTTTCATCCCCAATGGGGCACTTAGGGAAGGCAACTGATCTCTCTCTCTCTCTCTCTCTCTCTCTGTCTCTCTCTCTCTCTCTCTCTCTCTCGGTATGTCTTCAGGTGAGGATTTAAAAAAAAGAGCTATTCCATTTTGAAAAAGTTCAACCATTTATGCAAATTTTTAAAAAATTTCTCTAAATACTAAAAATTACTTGAAATTATCTCGATTGTAGGTTTGCAGTGAGCAGTGTAATTGTCAGTGTTTTCCTTGGAAACATATCTTTGCAACAAATATAAATGTAAAGGTACTTCATTTATTAACGAAAACAAGACTTGTTTTGAGGTATTTACCCCATCAAATATCCCCCTCTTTATCCCCCTACTCCCCCATCATTTGATTCCTGTCCCGCTCCAGGCTCTAGACCTTCACTACCCTTATGTCTATGTTCATGGGCAAGTTTTTAGGTATTGTTTCACCTCAAACAATAATCACTATGAATTTTGAATTTGTTTTCATCTACCTGGTTTTGGCGACGCTCTATGAAACTTTGCACAAAAGCTAAAGTATTAATAATTTAGAAAAGCTGCATTTAATAATAAAATGAGCAGGATTATTCATTAATGAAAGACAAAGATTATGTTGTTGTTGGCTATTCCTTTTAATGAAAGGAAGGGTAGTGGGAAAAGCCAAATAACAGAAAATGCTCTTAATGGGTTTCTTAAAAATATAGGTATGGATATTGTACACATACACCAGAACTGTAGAATAGTAAGGCCGATAATAAATGCTTTATAAATTTTATTTTGTTGTGGTAAGAATACTTAACATGAGATCTACCCTGTTCACAAATATTTCAGTGTACAAAACACTATTGTTGACTATAGGTACAATGTTGTACAGCAGATCTCTAGACCATACTCATCTTACATAATTGACACTTTATGTCCTCTGATTAGTAACTCCCATCTCAAACACCCCCAACCCCTAGCGACCACCATTCTACTCTCTGCTTCTATGACTTTGACTATTTTAGACACTTCATATAAGTGGATTTTTTTATGTATAAGTGGAATTTTGCAGTATTTGTCCTGTGACTGGTTTGTTTCACTTAGCATAATATTTTCCAAATATTGTTTCTGCTGCTTTCTTCTTTCCTGTAAATGGGAGTAGAGCAGAGGGCAAGAGTTTTTATAAGTAGCTTTAAAACACTCAAATAGTGCCTTTTTGCTGCCTTAACATTTTCAAAATTAGTCGCAGGATGCTGTGGTTATTAGGACCAAATGTCTGGAGATCTACCTACGATAGTTCTAGAAGGTAGTGGAGCTCTAGTGCAGTGTGTTTCAGAATGAAGTTCACATAAGCAATCCATTAGGGTACAGGGGGAAAACATCAGAATTTCAATGTCTATTTTTAGCTCATTATTTAAAAATTTTATTTGTATGGTTTATGTTAAGTATAATAGGACAGTATTTGTGCATATAATTTATAAACATACACAGCTGATACATGCTTGAACGCGTTCTACTGATTACAGTGAGGAGAGTGTGCGGAAGGATGGTAGCCTTTCAATAGGAACTCACTACCTCACAATGCTGTTACAACATTCCACCCTATGACTCAGAGAAGTATGGGCTTCCAGATAAGTTCAGCAGATAGGTCCCTATGGAATGGGAGTGATGGGGA